TACAGATAACATTTGAAAGATACATCAAAAGCACTGCGTAACTCTTGAATAAATACGTCATACACACGTTGTGGGTACTAGGCTACTATAATGACCTATATTATCCTCCAATAACAAAAACCTTACCTAGGCTACTATAGCGACCTATATCATCCTCTAATAACAAAAACCTTACCTAGGCTAACGATAATGACCTATACCTCCTCCGGTAACAAATGTTAGTGACCTATATTATCCTCCAATAACAAAAACCTTACCTAGGCTACTATAGCGACCTATATCTATGTTAGTGCTATAAAAACGCTTTTATGATCATAGAAGATATTGCCATCAACTCTAATCCATCAAATACTCTCTACTTCTACTGAGACAAGAGAAATGACGTCACGTAGCCATGGCTTAAATAGACATACTTAACCACCATCCTTACAGTTTCAGGGGCGTAGCTTCAATAGAAAGAAAAAGCCCGTGCTTGCACATAAAAAATATGTGCATAGAGTATGTGGGACAAAATTACAAAATTAAGGTTGAAAATAAATATCTAATGTTTTTGATAAATTAAAAAATATAAATAGAAAATTGTTGAATAACTAGGCCTAGTGCATTGCTTTCCGGAACTTTATACACGTCATACTATTCTACTTCTTACTATCATTTCAACGTTTCTGATTATAATGTTGTTAAAGTGCAAATTTTCAAAATGAAGAAGGCTTCTGGGTTACAGACGTGGATCGATAAGCTTTTAAAATAAAATAAAGTCGAATCGAGAGACAACATTAAAAGTGACACATCAAAGACCGAAGGTACATATAGCTATGAAGATACGGAAATTGTCAGGGACATTTTCGCGAATCAAAAGAACAGAAAGTTAGCTTTTATTTAGTCTGGAGTTGAAGTTTGTTGTTAAATAAATAAAAAAAAATCTGTCTCAGAAAACGATTCAAAACATCTTTGAAATAATGAAATTCATTTTCCGTCGGGGGCCTTCGCCCCCCTAATCACCCCACCAGGGCTCTGCCCTGGACCCGCTGGGGGCCTAGGCGGCACCCAGACTCCTTGCCTTGGCTTACACATTTCTACTGGGCTAGCTACGCCCCTGATTTTGATCTCACAACTGGTTTAAAACACGAGTTTGAGGCCTACACGAGGCAGCCGTCAGGCGTAGGCCGCAAGCTGGCTTTCCTCCAACGCTTAGATATGGCACGTCCTTAAATGACTGTTAATAGGGCATAAACTGAACTAAACTAAAATCTCTCACACGTACTTTCGGTTTCCTGACCACCCTTAAATATAATCCTTAAGTCTTTCGGTCTTTATAACGATTGGTACAGGTCACAACCTTCAGCAGGCAGGTCACTGATATCAGAAATTGCATTTCAGGTTACTAGATGTTACAGTTTCTCATCTCTAACTTTTCAACTAGTACGTGCTCAGTAGCTGATTCTGCGATCAATTTCACTGTGTTGATAGCTGAAGGCGAAATATGAAAGGATTCTGAAAATGTCCCTATTTTCTTGTTGCTCTTATACTAGAATCATCCAAAAAGATTTTCAAATCAACACAAAGTGATAAATTGTGATTTTAAATATGTTTTATTTAAATAAACATCTTTGTACATTTACATATAAGCAGCCTCTTTGCTGTATGCTATCAAATCCTTATTATATATGATACAAGAGTCAATGATATATGTTAACAGATGTAAATATATAGAAGATTCTAAGCAAACAAACATCAATGATAAAAGTATCCCGATAATTTTGTCATTCGCGCTACTTAAATAGTCACTTTCGATCTCTGCACCTCTGGAACAATTCATGGCAAAATTATTGAAGGTTCCAAGTTCGACAGCTTCTGGACAATAAGGAAAGACTAGTCTGATCGTTTGATGTACATCAGACAAATTCCGAGGTCGCATAACAATACGTTGTACTGTTTCAGGAGTCGCTCATTTATAATCGTCAAAGGTTTTGTTCGCTACAAAGTTTCCCCTGTGCCTTCAATTTTGTCATGAAATATTCCAGGTCAGAGACCGATGGTAAATGTAACACATGGAATATCGAGGATGGGATTATGCCATTTCTAAGTTAATATACTCAGATGTTTCATGTTTACCTTATAGTATTTTATGTATACGAGGTCTTGTTGTTCCATGCCATATTCATGTACACAAAAATACAAAATGCAACACGAAAGTATTGATTTGAACTGCTTAGCATCACTTTTTATGTAGATGATCATTTTTTGAAAATCAGTTGTTCACAATTTTAGCTTAAACATTTGTGAAGCGCCGTTTTAAACGGGAACATTGTTTCCTAAAGTTTTTGGTCTAGGAACAGTGTATATTATGCAATCCAGCAAACATAAGGTTAAACATCGAATTGATTGCAAAGGAATCAATCTTATTTATAAATATATTTATTTCATTTACATATTTATTTGTGATCCATGAAGTAATATCAACAGTACGGACAAATGAATTGTCAAATTTTCGAGGCAACCTGCCCCTTTATAAAGACACAAATATTACATAAATAACATTACATACATAGAACATAAAACAAAGTTCTAACTATAATTGAGAGTGATTGTGTAATTTGTCAATCATATAAATATATTTAGCCTTCTTCAGTTCAGAATTTATATATAAAATCAGGTGCCATCTTTATTCATAACCAGCCTTAATGCTTAATAGATTGTACTATTGAAACAGATATCCCTATCGGCGTTCAACCCAGGGAATCATGGTCCAGTTAGTCAATTTGACGTTCAACAAATCAAGTGGCATGCTTGTTATTTTCCAAATGTGAAAATAAAAACGCCAATAAAACAAACAATTATTCGATGTGCCGCAATGACAAAATTATATCCTTTATCTAGAAAAAAATAACTTATTAACAATAGTGATGGTGGCTGTTTTCATATCACGTTTTTTGTCGTAAACTTTCATGATTTTACTCTCTTCATGATATACAGATTTCCCAAATGTTAATGAAAATTTATTCTGTTTTACCTGTTTCATTTTACAGATGTTGTGATACCCGCAACACTTAGTTAACGCACGTCATTAGATCTACATACAGTTCGTCACATCATTAGAACGTTGATAAATGTAAAAAAAAAAAAAAAAAAAACTTAACTTAGAAACATAAACAGTATGGAAGAATATGATATCCACAGCGAGAAGCAATATCGTCACTGTATCGTTAAATCTCTGCGTATATAGACAAATGAACCATAGGATCACAGGGACATGGCATTCACTTCAACCCACGGTCCATACATATGTATTAAATAGTGACAAATCCCTGTGATTAATACAACGTTCATCGATTAGTCCCTCTCATCCATCAAGAGGGCGGAGGGTCTGCTGTTTCGTTTAGGGTGTCCAGTTCATTTTCCGGAGGACAATTTTCTTTTTTCATATCATTTCCAGCATCATTTCCAAAGTCATTTCCAGTGTCTATCTTATTCTTGGCCAGTCCCTTTTCAGCTACGCTGGGTTGACCCAGACTTGCCGCAGCCTTAGTCCCGATGATACCTGTCTTGTATAAAATTCCAGTAATAAGTAATCCCGATGCAACTGCTGCTGATGGGACTCCTACACCGACTCCGACTTTCCAGTCGTCATCTGTGGATGTAGAGGCGAGAACTTTTGGTGTTGGAATTGTGGTTGTAGTAGCAGTTGTTGTAGTAGCAGTTGTTGTAGTAGCAGTTGTTGTTGCAGTACAACCTGAAACGACAACGATTTTTTAAAGATTTTACAACAAACGTAAAAGAGAATAGTATTTTTTTAGAGTTGCAAAGTAGATACAGAAGTGGAAAACAATGAATCAGCACTGAACTGTTTCGTCAGTGATGCTAAAGGGCCTAAATCCGCATGCCTGGACTGTTTAGTCAGTGATGCTAAAGGACCTAAATCCGCATGCCTGGACTGTTTAGTCAGTGATGCTAAAGGACCTAAATCCGCATGCCTGGACTGTTTAGTCAGTGATGCTAAAGGACCTAAATCCGCATGCCTGGACTGTTTAGTCAGTGATGCTAAAGGGCCTAAATCCGCATGCCTGGACTGTTTAGTCAGTGATGCTAAAGGGCCTAAATCCGCATGCCTGGACTGTTTAGTCAGTGATGCTAAAGGACCTAAATCCGCATGCCTGGACTGTTTAGTCAGTGGTGCTAAAGGACCTAAATCCGCATGCCTGGACTGTTTAGTCAGTGGTGCTAAAGGACCTAAATCTGCATGCCTGGACTGTTTAGTCAGTGGTGCTAAAGGGCCTAAATCCGCATGCCTGGACTGTTTAGTCAGTGATGCTAAAGGGCCTAAATCCGCATGCACAGATAGAAATCTCAATATTTCAACTAATTTCGTAATTTCATATATACAAGAAAAAATTCAAATATATCTGCTGATTTAGAACCGTGTACTACTCAAATGAATTAAAAGGTTAGGCAAACCTCGGGGAGTATTCACCAGAGTCTACCACCTGCAAGAAATCTACAATGTAAAAATATCGACTATAAAAACAATGTAAATTTTTATTCACCTTATTTCACAGGGATTATTTCCTCCGTTAGCAAAAGTGTGTTTTGGCCTTTACCACTCAGTACGTATGCCATATACAATGTGTAATACTTTGAGTTGTAAAAATATTTTCTTTTATTATTTAGCATGTCATCACCTAATTCTACATTTGTTATGATAAGTACTAGTCACTGGCTTGTCACTGACATGCATGGCACTGCCACAGAGACTCTGATAAGTTGTTCCTCGGAATAATTAAAATTAAATATTATTTAAAATGTGGTGAATAATTGTCTGTAAAAAAAACTTTGACATGCCGAGATAGAACTATAACAGAAATGTCTCTTTCCTTGATGTATACCTTAAACGCAAGATATGTTTTTGCCGATATACGAGTACGTTTTCATTTTTTGTAACGATATAATTTCTAAAATATGAAGTACAATGTGTGAAACAATGGATTTAAGCAGATATGAAAATCGAAAATCTCTTTTACCAAATTACTGTACAATCTAGTCGACCGTAACTTTGAAATTTCGTACTTACATGTGCTTGTATACATTCTATTCGACAGCTGAGCATAATGTACTGCTTTCCTATCCGTGTGACTAACATGAACTTTCTGTGTTTATTGGTTTTGTGTAGTATTGTAAAAATTTTTTTAGATTTTTCTATTGCGTATTTTCGTTTTTGTTGTTAGTTGTTGATTTCTGGCTTGGTTAAGATACCATCGAGTTTCATTATTAGTGGTCTACCATCGTTTTATTACAGCATTAGTGTTTACTTGATCGACATCGTCACCTTCTGGTATATTTAGTCCTTGATTCTTAATATCAAGATTTCTGTTTACTAAATCGACAATGTAAGCAATCTAATTGATATTTCTCTCGTTGACATGGGTTGATCTAGATTTACGTACGCGAGGGAGAAAACACTACTTGCTCTTAAACATTTCTTCTGTTCCAAGTTTGATTTAATGTCATTTATGTTTAAATTTTGTTAAGATGTTTGTATCTCTTTGTTTTTATTAATTAGCAAATTTTCATTCTTGTGTTTGAATCATATTGTTCCCCTGAAACGTTCTAAATCAAATCACGAATGATGAAATCAATAATAAAGCTGCGAGGTGCGTCATGGCATTTAAAGTTTGCAAGGCTGATTTCTAAGATGAGATTACTGACTATCGTGTTATCCAGTCCTAATTTACTTTGTAACCATGAACTACTACAAGTAATCCCCGCCTCGTTATATTAACTACTACAAGTAATCCCCGCCTCGTTACATTAACTACTACTAGTAATCCCCGCCTCGTTATATTAACTACTACAAGTAACACCCGCCTCGTTATATTAACTACTACAAGTAATCCCCGCCTCGTTACATTAACTACTACAAGTAACACCCGCCTCGTTATATTAACTACTACAAGTAACCCCCGCCTCGTTATATTAACTACTACAAGTAACACTCGCCTCGTTATATTAACTACTACAAGTAACCCCCGCCTCGTTACATTAACTACTACAAGTAACACCCGCCTCGTTATATTAACTACTACAAGTAACACCCGCCTCGTTATATTAACTACTACAAGTAACCCCCGCCTCGTTACATTAACTACTACAAGTAACCCCCGCCTCGTTATATTAACTACTACAAGTAACCCCCGCCTCGTTATATTAACTACTACAAGTAACCCCCGCCTCGTTATATTAACTACTACAAGTAACACCCGCCTCGTTATATCAACTACTACAAGTAACCCCTGCCTCGTTATATCAACTACTACAAGTAATCCCCGCCTCGTTACATTAACTACTACAAGTAACCCCGCCTTGTTATATTAACTACTACAAGTAACACCCGCCTCGGTATATTAACTACTACAAGTAATCCCCGCCTCGTTACATTAACTACTACAAGTAACACCCGCCTCGTTATATTAACTACTACAAGTAACACCCGCCTCGTTATATTAACTACTACAAGTAACACCCGCCTCGTTATATTAACTACTACAAGTAACACCCGCCTCGTTACATTAACTACTACAAGTAACACCCGCCTCGTTATATTAACTACTACAAGTAACACCCGCCTCGTTATATTAACTACTACAAGTAACACCCGCCTCGTTATATTAACTACTACAAGTAACCCCCGCCTCGTTATATTAACTACTACAAGTAATCCCCGCCTCGTTATATTAACTACTACAAGTAACCCCTGCCTCGTTACATTAACTACTACAAGTAACCCCCGCCTCGTTATATTAACTACTACAAGTAACCCCCGCCTCGTTATATTAACTACTACAAGTAACCCCCGCCTCGTTATATTAACTACTACAAGTAACACCCGCCTCGTTATATTAACTACTACAAGTAACCCCTGCCTTGATATATTAACTACTACAAGTAATCCCCGCCTCGTTACATTAACTACTACAAGTAACCCCGCCTTGTTATATTAACTACTACAAGTAACCCCCGCCTCGTTATATTAACTACTACAAGTAATCCCCGCCTCGTTATATTAACTACTACAAGTAACACCCGCCTCGTTATATTAAATACTACAAGTAACACCCGCCTCGTTATATTAAATACTACAAGTAACACCCGCCTCATTATATTAATTACTACAAGTAACCCCCGCCTCGTTATATTAAATACTACAAGTAACCCCCGCTTTGATATATTAACTACTACAAGTAATCCCCGCCTCGTTATATTAACTACTACAAGTAACACCCGCCTCGTTACATTAACTACTACAAGTAACCCCCGCCTTGATATATTAACTACTACAAGTAACCCCCGCCTTGATATATTAACTACTACAAGTAATCCCCGCCTCGTTATATTAACTACTACAAGTAACCCCCGCCTCGTTATATTAAATACTACAAGTAATCCCCGCCTCGTTATATTAACTACTACAAGTAACCCCCGCTTCGTTATATTAAATACTTCAAGTAACCCCCGCCTTGTTATATTAACTACTACAAGTAATCCCCGCCTCGTTATATTAACTACTACAAGTAACCCCCGCTTCGTTATATTAAATACTACAAGTAACCCCCGCCTCGTTACATTAACTACTACAAGTAACCCCCGCCTTGTTATATTAACTACTACAAGTAATCCCCGCCTTGTTATATTAACTACTACAAGTAACCCCCGCCTCGTTATATTAACTACTACAAGTAATCCCCGCCTCGTTATATTAACTACTACAAGTAACACCCGCCTCGTTATATTAAATACTACAAGTAACACCCGCCTCATTATATTAATTACTACAAGTAACCCCCGCCTCGTTATATTAAATACTACAAGTAACCCCCGCTTTGATATATTAACTACTACAAGTAATCCCCGCCTCGTTATATTAACTACTACAAGTAACACCCGCCTCGTTACATTAACTACTACAAGTAACCCCCGCCTTGATATATTAACTACTACAAGTAACCCCCGCCTTGATATATTAACTACTACAAGTAATCCCCGCCTCGTTATATTAACTACTACAAGTAACCCCCGCCTCGTTATATTAAATACTACAAGTAATCCCCGCCTCGTTATATTAACTACTACAAGTAACCCCCGCTTCGTTATATTAAATACTTCAAGTAACCCCCGCCTTGTTATATTAACTACTACAAGTAATCCCCGCCTCGTTATATTAACTACTACAAGTAACCCCCGCTTCGTTATATTAAATACTACAAGTAACCCCCGCCTCGTTACATTAACTACTACAAGTAACCCCCGCCTTGTTATATTAACTACTACAAGTAATCCCCGCCTTGTTTCATTAAATACTACAAGTAATCCCCGCCTTGTTTCATTAACTACTACAAGTAATTCCACATGTGTAGGGCGTTTTTTATCGGTTAGTTTTACCTTACGAGACAAACACCGAAAGTTCGGTTTATCGCTTACTTTGTTTACTGTTTATGGTTTGGCCAATCGTAGAGTAGCATCCATTAAGGGGTAAAAAACAACGAGTTCATTATCATCAGCCGTTGTAGTGTCCTAGGCTCGGTTATAACCGCAACAAGGACGTTAAGCTCAAAATAAAAAAAATAAAAACATCACCCATTGAAGACAAACTAGAGGGAAAATAAATGTCCAGTGAGAGACCGAAAGGTCGTAATAGTTGACGTAAAACCCCTTAAAATAAATAAATAGATAAGAGACCAAGTGTCTTGAAAGAATCGGCAAGCCGATTCACTTCTCCTGGGGATGACCTAGCGGTCGAACATGGATTCAAAAGGCCTGTAACTTTGAAGAGGAGGTCCAGAGTGGACTGTTGTGACGGCTGGTGACTCCCGCCGCTGCCTTCTCTGAACCTACCGAGCGCCTAGTGTGTTTGTGTGTGACCGGAGCACGCGTGTCGGAGGTGTACTGGGACGCGTGACGCCCCCTCTCCAACCCCCCTGTTACAGTATCATACATTGTCTTTCCTCACCTATATGTTTTTGAATTCGAAATATCCTTTTGGTTAGAATTCATAGAAATAAGTCCACTAATTATGCATTTTATAATTTCAGCTGTTGACATCACAGGTCATTTCCTAATAGATAAAAAATAACTGCATACTTTAGAGCAACCATGGAGCTTTCACAATACTAAAGCACGCTGTTGTAACATGGTCAAAATTATAAAATTATTATATTGATGATCAAATTCTGTCTCAATGAGTAATTGTGTAAGTGAATTATTAATAAATTGTTTTAAAAGTGTAATTGATCAGTATATTGTCATCAGTGTTTCATGTAGCGTATACGTGCACGGTAATGTTTTTGTGATATTTCTTAAAACGGTACGTTCTGTGATTAGGTTGTATTTGAATATTGTAAGTAAGAATATGTAATGTATTCATTGCAGCGTTTGGACTTGCTATTGTGATGTCAACTCCTTGACTAAATTGTGTAGTATCGTCTGTGCTGTTGTGTGTAACATTGATGGTCGATACCTGTTGTAAGTGAACTTTTATATCTTAAGTGTAATTGTTCTATTTTGCCGTAACGACTACAAGTGTATCTGTAATGTTAAATATTTGTGTAAAGTGATAATTATTTTCACTTGTATTGGTTGTGATTTGTTGAAGTTTGAACTGTCAGTAGATGTCATTTGTGTGAGGATCTGATTTTATATTATCCGATATGTTTCAGAATGTGTCTCTTTTAACTTTTGATAAATGTTTAACATCGAACCATTCCGCTACACTGTGAAATTGGAGCTCGGCCATATTTACTAATAACAGACACACTAGCCTTCCATCATGGTATATATAAAAGAAACATCATTCTTGATGAAATACCTGTTCTTGTGTATGACATCAAGAATCCGTGATAATTGTCAGAACCATCCGATTTCATGTTAATAGTTGCCGAAGTACCACTGGTACTATAGGACAACACATAATTCCAGCCATTGGTACCACAAATTGGGGACTGTGCAACTCCGTCTGTTTAACACAATAATAAAATCGAAAGTTTGTTGGTGCAGCAACAAAAACAAAAACAAAAAATCGTTATAACACAACCAGAAGACGATTTAAGAATAACGTCTCGATGACAAAACTGTCACATTCATCAGACAAATGACCAGTGTAAAGTGTCTTATTAGCAGCTAGAAAAAAGTTGTTTTTCTTGTCGAACTTTTGAAATTTCACTAGTCAGTGATATGATGCGTGTAACGATATCTGGGACTGAGATTACTTTCGCTCAGACCTGTTATCCTGCTGTCTTGAAATTTAACATCTTTCTGATGTTCATTAAGTCGGACCCTGAATCCCCTGCCCTTTTCTCCAATATACAACACAGTTCTTGCATCGGAAATTGTGGGACGTTCTTGGAGAATTACGGGGTCACATACTCTCGGACATCTATGACCACACAAAACGCAGCCGAATTGACTTCAGTACATTGCTACCATATTGTGTACGTTTTTTTCCATAATCTTTTTACCATCTCGTCACACTTTTTTCTACCTTAGTGTGTAGTTAAGCGAAACGTCACAGTAAAATCGTCTACTGGTAGTGTAAAAAGAACTTCTTTTTCAATACCATTATCAACTTAAGAACATTTTCAAAATATGGGTTGTTACTAAGGGATTGAATTAAGAACATTTTCAAAATATGGGTTGTTACTAAGGGATTGAACTAAGAACATTTTCAAAATATGGGTTGTTACTAAGGGATTGAACTAAGAACATTTTCAAAATATGGGTTGTTACTAAGGGATTAAACTAAGAGCATTTTCAAAACATGGGTTGTTACTAAGGGATTGAACTGAATTCACTCACCGTATGTGACGACAACGCGATCATAATCGCAAGCTGACTCTATATCGACATGGAGAAAATTTAAGAAGATGTTTCCACAGAGATCCTGAGTACTGATTAACCAAGTACAGTTACTGCCTCTGATAACATAAATTCAAATCGTCAGTGATTGTAAGAGGAGGATATCCTCATTATAGAAATGTCAATCATTTCCCTTTTCAAACTATACACAGGGAAACATTCATAACATGAAAACAACATGACAGGGTTCGTAATTAGTAGAAGTTTCATTCACATAAGTAGGCGGCACCTAATTTATTGATCATAGCCTGTGTCGTATACCAACGTGAGGAGTGCACGAGAGGAAGTTTCTCCCTCTTGTTGGTGGGGGTTCGGAACATTTAGGAATTAAAGACTGCCTGAGATGCATTTTCCTTCATTCTGAGAATTTGAAACGAACATACTTTTTTTTTTACTAAGTTTTAGTAAATTTCATTATAACACCTCATAATTCAAATAAAAGATATTTAGGATTTCTAGCATCAGAATCGTTGCATGTCAGTGAACATTTTGTATCCTCCACTACCGATTTGGAGTAACCACCTTTTGTACTTTTAATTGCATTTTGGTAAATTACATAATTATAACGCCGTATATTGCATTTATTTTATGATTTTCACACTAGACTAGCTATGGTGATATGCCATATCTTTCCAATTTCAAAAGTTATGTAGCCGGGTGCTATAATTAAAACAGCACTATGCTATGGGTTTGTATATAAGTGTTTAATTAAAACCTACAATTAACAAATATTTGACATGAGCATACAGTAGTGTAGGAGACACACGCAATGACCTTTAAAAACTGACATATACAATCGTACAAACTACAAGAGACAAAATTACGTATGAAATACCAGGGATGATGAAACATAAATGCTTAGAGATACGTGGATGATGGTAATTACTGTCCGATGTCATGCCCAGAATGATATTGGGGAAGGAATGTGCAGGTTATAGATAGTTGTTTAGCATATATATATTAAACAATAATTACTGCAATTATTGACAGTTTTACACGTATTGTACATATTGACGTCATCAAATACGTCATCTAAGATATGTCAATTCGCAAGAAGAATGTTTACTTCACAAAGCATGTGTTCTACACATCGTGCGACTCCAGCAATGCAATCCTCCCATTCATCATCTTCCATCTCTATTATCCCTCTGCTCCATAGTAGAAACAAATACTGATCGTCTTCATATAACAAATCAAATTTTACATAATTGTTTACTGCATATCTCTACTACTGAATAAGGCTGGGCATTGGATAAGAAAATGCTTTGTAGTGTTTGTTGTTGATTTTTGGCCCATGTCAGCTTTGGATACTTTAAGCTTAGCTTCCACAGAGGATTCGCGCCTATATGAGGATGTATACGTCTATAGTGTTCAAGAAGCACACTGTTATCACAACTATTACACTACTGAGTGAAATAATACACTTCGGTAACGTTCTTGATAAAACGCTTCCATTGCCCCGCGCTGCATTTCAAAGAAGAAAATACAAATTCCATAAAGAACGAATGTATACCAAATTTTAGCATTGTCTCCGATATATCTCTGATAAAACTAGCTTTGTGGGATGTGTATTGACCAAACACGAAGCTACATCATCGAACAATAAATAGGGTTTTCCAAATGAACTCACTGCTAGCATTACATAATTTATTCCAGAAAAATAGTCTACGTTTTTTAACCTCACACCAAACATCTGTTTGCCCAAGAGCCCTTGTAGTTATTGCTGATGGCGATGTCTTTTCGAAACCCTGACATCTCGCAGCGTATTTTTGCGTACGTTCTAATTCTACCATTGATGACTTGACTGGTGCTACCCACAGTTCATATCCGTACGGCATAATTGGTAGAATAACTGAGTTGATAATTCTTAGACTACTAAGTTGGTTGATGCCATTCTGGTGCATCCCAATATTTATAAGGCTATTAACAGTTGCACGCCCCTTTCCGCACGAATTCACGATGTGCTTGTCGGATTTAAGGTTGGAACATGTTATTCCCGCGTATACTTTTGATGTTTCCCAGAGTATTGGAGTATTTCCTAAACAACACTGAACCCCTGGTTCCTTTGGAGGACGTTTCCGACAGGTAAACTGCATCAATGTTGACTTGGATGAATTGTAGTTGAGTCTTAAAGTTTTTGCATAATCATGCACAATGTCTAACTGCAATTGTATATTCCAGATTGAAGCTGCTAATAATAAGGTATCGTCTGCTAGGAAAACACAAGGGATGTGTGGATTTTGAATACCGAGTCCAAGACCGCTTACCTCTAACTTAGTTGCTAAGCCATTAATCATGACGAGGAATAGCCATGCAGAGAGGGTCCTTCCTTGACCGACCCCTTGTTCAATATGGTACTCCTCGCTCTTTTGTCCACTGTATAATACACAAGCTGTTACTCCATGAAACGAATCTTTTAGTATCCTCCAGAATTTTCCGTTAAAGCCTAATTTGTATACCTTGTACAGCAGTCCCTGTATCCAGACGCTGTTAAAGGCCTTTGCGTTGTTAAGAAACGCTGCAAAAACTTTAGAGTTACGTTCCAGATAATGACATATCGACTCCTTAACAGTAAAGGCGGCTAATATACTGCCACATTGAGGCCGAAATCCTTGATGAAATTTGTGCGGAAATTGACTTTTGGAACAACGCTTCACTATTCGCCTATACAAAATCTTCTTAAGAAGCTTTTGCAGCACTGATGTTAAAGTGATATCCCTATAATTATTCATGTCCAGTCGGTCTTTTTTCCCTCCTTTGAATAGTGTTATAATAATTCCCTGTTTAAAATGCCTTGGGTAAACCTCCAGATCAAAGATAGCATTGAAGAGCATAAATATTACATTTTAAACACAATTCCTACATGACGGATATGTTTTATAACAAGTCGTGTCCACCTGCTTTTCCATATTTTATATCTCTGATCGCTATATCCAACTCCTCCACTTCTACGCGATTTATGCAAACCGTATTCTGATTAGCGAAACTTTGCTCATACATTCCATCGATTCCGCGTTCGACCTCCTCTTTGAATATGGCATCAAAGTGAGGTTTTATCCCTGGCTTTGATAAATCTTCATAATGTTCTTTCCATGCTTTCTTGCTGGTATCCGGATCGCGACTGATCTCTTCTCCGATGCGCAACTCGACTGAGGAGAAAGTTTTGCATTAATTTTTTTATAACTTTATAAAAAGTTGCAATGTCTACTTCAGCTGTGTCTTGCAACTCCTCTAATTGCTCTTGATTATATTGATCTTTCGCCTTATCCAAAGCTGGTCGAAATTCCCGCTTTGCTCTTTTGTACACACTGTAAGACTCAAAAGAGTGTCCTCTTGGGTATCCCTGTTGTATCCAGTAAGCACGATATCGCCGCATAGCGGAGATCCTTAACATTGCTATAGTTCCAGTAGAGCTTAAGGAATGGACAATATCGCTTGAGTGTCAACGAAGCATTCGCAGCCTCACGAATTGCTGCCGCAGTATATTGTACTAATGATTCCAGCTGTTCAGCATTCATTCTAGATCTCTTGTAATGAAGTATTCTTCCCAGTGTCTCATTTAGCCCGGTCACGTATTTCATCTTCTCTTCGTCGGTTACCTTTCTCCAATTAACTGCTCGTGACAATTTAGATTGTTGGTGAGGGGAAAACAATATATCATCAGAAATTGTAACTGGCACCTGATCTGATACATTAAGGAAGTGGTCATCATGTATCACACAAGATCTCACCAAATCACACTGACTCCTTTCGATGAGAATATGATCAATAAGAGGATGATACAGACCATCGTTAGACACAAAAGTCACCACCTTCAGACAATTCCTGTGAATTAGCTGATATGAGTTGCTTCTCATCAATAAAAGTTTCGAGTGAAGTGCCACTTTCGTTAGCGTGCACATGGTTTTTAATACCAAACTTCTTTGAAATGTGTCCATTTAGGTCACCGAGTATGATTATCTCCCCTTGCTCACGATATCGGTCGAACAAATCGGAAAGACATCCGAGGATGTCTTTGTATTCGCAAATTGGACGATTTGTAGATGGTAGGAGAACTCCGATCACACACAGATATGATTTATCCTGAAGTTGCACGGATACACCAATAACTCGATCACAGCCCTAACTTAAAATTGGTGTCACCATCAGATGGTTCGTCCAGAGAATTGCTACACCTCCACAGCCACGATGTTGTAATCTTTGCTCAAAATCCTGCACCATGCAATCATCAGACCTCTCAAATGTCTTGTAATTGACATCGATATTCTCTAAAAAACATAACTGTTCTGGGGGTAACCAATGTTCAGTGATAACAGCTAAGTCTATATCCTTTAAAATCTCTGACAGAAGAGGTGTCCCATACATAACGCCTCTTGTATTTCAGGTTAGTAGATTCACAAATAGAACGAGAAGTATCGAATAGCACGAGCGTATGAAGTAATTGTTTACCTCCTCGTTTATTTGCGAAACTTTCCTTCGTGCGATCCTCCCATTTACGGATGAGAACAGTTTCCGGCCAGAAAAGCAAAATGTTGCTCTAGTATATTGAGTTTTGCCGTGTAGGTCGGATTTTTTTTTTTGATCATCCCAATATTTCAGAATCCTCATAAAGGTCACCTTTACACCTCTGCTGGCTGCATAGGAGACAACAGAACTGATTACGTCCTCCTCTGGTGCGTTAGAAGTAATTTATGACATAATCATTCTCTTTACTTTTGGTTTACGTTTAACTCCACGAAATTCGTAACGCGATTCCGCCGTTCCAGCACCAAGTTGTTGCTTAGTGTTATAGCCATGAAAAGTTATAGAAGTTACAGAACACATATATATACATAAGCACATCATGGTTGGATTTGAAATTGTCCTAGAGCCAATTACTGATTAAGCTAAGATCGACAATTGACAATTAGATTGAGGTTTTGAGGTTTACTACTCAGCTTTAATGAGCAAGTGCGCTTGGTTATCACCATGGATTTAAATACACGTATTCGTAACGCGAGAATAAATAAGTTCACATTTACATATAAGTATTCTATATAACTGGACATAGGAGGAACTA